ATTACAAAGCTCTTGACATATCATATTTCATACATTAGATTGAAGTGGGTTATGAACTCCCAATTTTACCCCAAATGCAGATTGCAGAATCACGTTGGTTACACATCCACAATTTTACATAATGCCCTATTAGTAATTGTTGTATTTTGATCACTTCTGATATGCCTTAGCCCTAGAATAGGTTGGAAGACTTGATACCAAATATTTACTTAGGTTTATGTAAAAATTTAAAACTTAAACATTTAATCCAAACATTTTAATGTTAATCTATAATATCTATAATATCGTCATATATATGGTCATATGTAACTACATATATAGTCATATGTTTGGTTTGTATCTACCATTTATCAGAAAAGATATGTGAGACACTGGGTTTGATTCTTAGCATCACATATAAAAAAATAAAGATCCATTGACAACTAAAAATATTTTTAAAAAACACGATTTTGCTAAGTATCTATTTGTAGAATACCTACTAGATATTTTCTATATTTTACTTGTAATGCAAAATTGTAAGCATTAAATAGTTGTGTGTTACCTGTATATTTCAATTCTATATGAAAACAGGGAGAAAACTAGAATTTTATATGGAATCTTTTTGGCACTTGTTTTTCACTTTTGCTTTTACATCCTTGATAATGTTCTTTTTGTCCTTCCCACCAGAAGTTAGATGGATGTAACAAGATGACATGTACTGGCTGTATGCAATATTTCTGCTGGATTTGCATGGGTTCTCTGTCTAGAGCAAACCCTTACAAACATTTTACTGATCCCGATTCCCCATGTTTTAACAGGTATGTATACACAGAATCCATAGACTTAGCAGCACTTTTTGATACCTGATTTGCAGACTACAAATCGCATGTTTTACTTATGTACTCGGACTTAGGGAATTCCACTACATTTTCCAAATAAATGTTTATATTAGTTTCTTGAAAGTGAGTTTAATAATGAGAATACACACTGTCTGAAAATACTTTTTTTCCTCTCAATTTTGTTGTTGTTGTTGTCTGTCTGGTGCTCAGGATTGAACCCAGGGCCTTGTACATTATAGGCAAGTACTCTGTCACTAAACCACACCACACCCCCAGCCCTTTTTACTTTATTTTAAGATAGGATATTGCTGAGGCTTGCCTTAAACTTGTGATCCTCATGCCTCGGCCTGCTGAGTAGCTGGGATTATAGGTATGTACCACCACAAGTAGCTAAAAGAACTATTCTTATTAACTTTAAGGCAGCTTGCTGAGAGGGACCCAGATGTCAGCCCTCCTCTATGGAGTGATTAAAAAGAAGAAAAGATATACACAGATGTTATTAAAACAGTACAGAAAGTGTTTTTGAGAGGAGAAAAAACATTTAGTTTTATTGAAGTGCTTAAATATGTACCTTATTTTATGCTTCCAGGTTGTTCCATGCTGTGGATGTTAATGGAGATATTTGGGAAGATGAGATTGAAGACTAGTTAACTCTTTCTGCTCATAATATGGAAATGGAATGGTTTGCCCTAATCTTGTCAAGTGTACAAAGTAACTTTGCAGGATATTTAGGGTACCATGCATTCATAGAAGATAAGGAAGAGCAAGGTTTATATTTTCATTTGGTACTACTGATTATGGCACCTTCATACATTTTTCCATGTATCATAAATTGATAAAATTATAAGCCAAAGGTTCAGAAAATGAAAATTACAGAATATTAAATAATATAATATGCCCAAAGCTCTTTTTAACTAAAAAGTAAATATTTATTTTCTTCCCCAAGCTTTAGATAAGGAGAAGGGTCAGGAATTAAACATATAGACCTGTCTCCAAGGAGCATCCCTCTGAGACATTCTGTTGGAGCCCACTCAGTACTCCTAACAGCTGGGGTGGGTAGAAGCCTTATTAAAATCGTACTGAGAGCCTGATCCCATTCACTACACATTACTCACATTCCTTCCAACTGAAATTTCTGCTAAGTTCTCTTTGGAGGAAGCTTTTTGCTCTATGACTGGATGGCCCAGTGTTATTTTGATTGATGCTTTTTAGAATTTAGAAATTTATAATAATTTAAGAAATATTTTTCAGTACCACAAACACTGTGGGTGGCTTGATATTTATGAGTGATATATATAGTTCACTGATTTTGAGCCAAATCTATAATGTAATGAAACTGATGTGGGAGAATTTCTACCCTATTCTACTTTCCTGGGCAGTAGAGCTTGGATTTACCTTTTTATTCTACATTTTCTCCTTTTACCCTCCCCCTGCCTTCTGTTGCAAGGACAGTTTTAATATTAATTCCAGCAGCACACATTTTCCTCTGCAGAAACAAGAGAAAGCCTAATGTATTCTCAAGCTGAACAAGCTGAATGTTCTTTAATTATCTGGTTTTTGAACCTATATAYATTACTGTAGTTCCAGCCCTAACCTGAGTTCTTTTTAAAGGTCTTCTCTAATGAGCTATGGGAATTTGGCTTTTTTGCAACAGCAGTGCTTTGGGTGATAATTTTGGCTTGATACCTAGATTCCTATTTCTGGATTTTGTTGGCTTTTTGGAAAATTGTTTTTCCTTATGATTTGGTGAGTGGCTAGCAAATTTAAAAATTTTTTTTTTTTTTTAAAGAGGGATAGAAGAATTCAGTTGTAGCTTGTGAACATGTTTTTGCTTCTACCTTGTCATTGAAAATTGAGGAATCACTTTTAACTGTTTTAGGTGTGTATGTCCAAAAAGTCAGCAAGTGTGTTTCTGGATTGTCAATGAGGATGCTTAATCTTAAAAATAAAAATAGTTTTTAAAAATCATCTTATAATTAGAACGGAGTTGCTGCTGTTTGTTCTATCATTGAGGCAACTGATCACATGGTAAAACTATTATAACTTTTTACTTTTTTGGTGCTAGAGATTGAACCCAGGACCTCAAGCATGCTTAGCATGCACTTTGCCCCTGAGCTACACCTGTATCCAAGGGGTCATAAAACCCTGTACCTAGGTATAGCTCTTAAAGTGAGTAAAAGAAAGTCCTGAATGGAACTTTCTTTTCTTATCTGGGCTTGTGACTGAGCCTAGATTTTAAGGCTCATGTTTGTTTAAACAACTATGTTTTATGGACTTTCATTTAACACATTTTATATGAGAACTGAAGTTAAAGAATAAGTTGGTGATAAGAAATGAAAATTGACTGTATACCTAAGAAAAGTGATTGAATAATTTGGAATTTTTTAGTAGTAGCCACTCAGAAATTCTAGTTCATAAGCTGGTTGATATTTGCTACCGATCATTTTATTTTAAGCTGTTGTATATTGATGATATCATAGATGTAGGAAAGAAGTCTTCATAGTACAGTTTTGTGAAAGAAATGGAAGGATATTTTTCTTCTTTTATGATTTTTAAAAACCTAACACAGGTATTTATTCACCTGAAAGTTTTCTTTCTTCCTTTCTTAGGTACAAAATATTCATCCCTTAATTTTATCAAAGAACTTAAGGCTTATAAAGCCTTATTTTTTACCCATATTTTTTAGTGATGCATCATAATTATACATAATGGTGGGATTTGTTGTTACATAGTAAAGCCTTATTTTTTTAATTTAAAAATTTTTTTAGTTGTAGATGGACACAATATCTTTATTTTATTTATTTATTTTTATGTGGTGCTGAGGATTGAACCCATTGCCTCATATTTGCTAGGCAAGYGCTCTACCACTGAGCTACACCCCCAGCCCCGCAAAGCCTTATTTTTGAGGCATAGTTATAAGCTGATTTTGATATGGTATAGTTTGGGTAGAGTATTTTTGTTTCTGAGTAAAATGAAAGATTGGGGTAACTCCCTGACTACCCTGTAAAACAACTGAGTTTGGGGAAAGTTGCCATGTCACAAAAGTATATGATGGAATAGAGTTTTGTACCTAAGGACAAAATAAGAAGACCTTATCTTACAAGTGGGCTGAGATTTGCCATACATTGACATGAACCTTTATGGGTCCTTTTGGTAGGAATTTAAAGAGGCGATGTCTCTTGATTTTATATGAAAGGTTTGTGAGTCTAGAGTGGAGAAATTAAAATAAGCTTCCAAATAACTTCTTTCCTTAAGTCAAAATAGAAGCTCTGAATTTTTAAGCTTGTTTGTGATGGAACAAAGGGCCTGTATTTGTCAATTGAGGTACATCTTGTTTAACATTTATTTATTTATTTATTTTGTTATCAGGAATTGAAACTCAGGGGCACTTAAACCACTGAGTCACATCCCCAGCCCTATTTTGTATTTTATTTAGAGACAGGGTCTCACTGAGTTGTTTAGCGCCTCACAGTGCTGAGGCTGGCTTTGCACTTGCAGTCCCCCGTCTCAGCCTCTCGAGCTGCTGGAATTACAGGTGTACCACTGCACCCAGCTCATAATTTTTTGTTTTTTTTAAAGGAAACTTATAGAATAGTTTTAGATTTATAAAAAACTACAAAGGTAGCATAGAGTTCCCATATATCCTATACCAAATTTCCCGTTAATACTGAACGTTAGTATGGTGCATTTGTCACAATAATGAACCAGTGTTGATATATTTTTAATTACAGTCCATATTTTATTCAGAGTTTTTCCTTTATGTCCATTTTTCTGTTCCAGGGTTCAATCCAGGATACCACATTATTACATAGTCACCATGTCTTAATTGTCAAAATCCATTTTTATTGTTAGTGCTGTATAAACATCATTATATCTTAAAACACCTAGATTGACCAGGAGCTGAAAAACTTTTCTTGAAGGCTAATTGATCACCTAGTCCTAGCAGGTACGATAAATCAATGATCAAGGTCTTCCAATCAGTTTTTCCTCAGGATACTTCATWGCTGCATGTGCAGCTTTAGGCTTACTTGGATGGTCATTTTCCTGCTCAGATTTATTGGGGGGAGGTGGTCATTAAACCCTGGACAAGTTGATCAGACTATCCTGTGGATCAGCTGGGCCCACATGGCTTTGCACTGAGAGAACTAGCTTGCTGTTTCGACTAAAACTTGAAGAGCTTGGAGTGCTTTTCTTTCTGTCTAGAGATGTGGCAAACAGAAAAGACTTGGAAACCATYTTTCCAGGCCTGTAGCATTGTCAATAAGGTCATTTTTTAGTAGTAGAGGGCTCTAGTTTACATTAGAAATCCCATAATATACCTGCTATTTATTTTTCTGTCAAGAGTAGTGAGTTAATCAGGTAAGAATCTTGAGGTGGTTTATATGGTTTCATTGACTGGAATTTGAATCTCCCACCAAATATTAACTTTATTATAAGCATCACCAACAGGTGGCAGCAGTTCCCCTGTTATAAAAATAGAGTGGCCTAGGAGAYCTGGTGGGGCAAGACTCTAGTCCTGGCTACTCTGGGAGGCTGAGATAGTAAGATCACTTGAGTCTAGCAGTTCAGGACCAACTTGGACAAAATGGTGAGACTCAATCTCAAAAAAACAAACATACAAACACAGAGTGACGAGTTAAGCTAGGAATAGTATTTTGTTAACAGAAGCAGACTTAATTTCTGGGATTATAATTTTCCTCATTGTATTTTATCATAATAYCTTTTATACCTTGGGAGACAGAATATGACAATATCAGCAAGGCAGGAAGAGTAGTATTACCAAAAACTTTTAGGCCACTCAAAATTTACTTGATCCATAGTTGCTATCTTATTCAGTTGTTCCACAATGGCAAGTATTATGCCTAACAGGTACACATATCTTCAGCTACTAATGGAAGGCAATTAAGTTATTTATCAAGCTCCTGAGTAGGACCAAAGAATTGTACCAATGTGATGCCCACTGATGCTGGTTAAAAAGAAGAAGACAATTTGTTCCCTAAACTTGGCTGAATAAAAAAATTGGTCAGCAGACCAGGATGAGGTTTTGTGGTCAGAAGGCTGGCTCTAGGAACTTTAGGGATGTTCTTCACAGATGTTATGGTGCTTATTGACTTTCAGCACCCATAGTCTAGACTTTGTACAATTACTCGGTGGCTTGAAGATTCACCACTCCAAGCATTTCCATATTTCTCTGAGCCACAGGATGCTTTGGAGAAGATTGAGCACATTGAAAACTTTGTGRGATTCTGATGCTCATGTAGCTAGCAAAGTTAGCACAGTTATTTCTTTAACTTGCTTATACTGTTTTATCCCATTATAAAAACAACTCCCAAAAAAGAAAAAAATAAACTTATGCAACATAAGATTTTTAAAGCAATTATGTATCTTACTCTCAATCCATTCCACTTTTGCAACTTATTATACTTCCTTGAATAATTCACTCATTTAACAAATAATGAGCACCCCATAATGGGCCTATTTTTCCAGTTGCTGAGAACATAGCAATGAATAAAATGGATRTACTGTCCCTGCCCTTGTGAACTTAAATTCTGATGGATAGAGACGGACAATAGGCAAACTATATAGGTCACCAGAAGATAAGTGTCAGTGGAAAGAAGTCAAGGAGGAGATAGGGAGTTAGGGGAAGCAGGRCAGTGCTGGATTTTTTAAAATTTTTTATTTTTTTGATTTATTTTTTATTTTTTGGTACCAAAGATTGAACCCAAGGGTGCTTAACCACTGAGCTACATCCCCAGCCCTTTTTTGGTGTGTGTTGTGGGCACATTAGGGATTTAACTCAGGGTCACTTGACCACTGAGCTACACCCCAAGTCCTATTTTGTATTTTATTTATAGATAGGGTCTCACTGAGTTGCTTAGCACCTCCCTGTTGCTGAGGCTGGCTTTGAACTCGAAAGCCTCCTGTCTCATCCTCTTGCCTGAGCCTCCCAGGCGGCTGGAATTATGGGTGTGTGCCACCATGCCAGGCACAATGCTAGAATTTTAAAGAGGGAAAAGACTTCTTTATAATAGCACAATGACAAAGGCTTGGCAATGTGGCTGTGACCCTTTTAGCTGCTTGGAAAGACAAAATTCCAGGTATAGACACCAGGGCAAATGCCCTTGGGATGGGGACACGTTAGAGGGCTCTAGGAACAATATAGTAAGCAGTAAGGGCTGAAATAGACCAAGGAAGGAAGAACAGTAAGAGATAGGACGTGAATGGGTAGTACTACAGACAGTTCCAGGGCTTGAGTGAATTTAAAAGACTTTGCACAGAGGAGTAATATGGTCTGAGTTAGGTTTTAGGGGTGAGCAAGCTTAGAAACCAGTTAGGCCATTTGTGGCAACTCAGGTAAGAAGTACAGATGGATTGTGCTAATGTGCCAGCAGAATTTGGGGAATTGGATCCTGGCATGATGGCACATAGTTATAATCCCAGGGCCTTGGGCAGCTCAGGCAGGAGGATCATAGGTTCAAGGCAGCCTTGTCATCTTGGTGAGACCCTGTCTGAAAATAAAAAGGGCTGGGTACATAGCCCAGTGGTAGAGCACTCCTGGTTTCGATCTTCAGTACCTCAATAATACAAAAAAAATTCTTGAGAATTAGATTCTGTACTTAGCTTGAAGGCAAAACTAATAAGATTTGCTCATAGACTGCATATATATTGAGAGAGAGTGAAGCATCAGGGTTGATTTCTAGGTGTTCTGAGCAGTTGTGATGGAGAAGACTATGTAGACAGCATGGGTTTGTGGGTGAAGATTAGGAATTTAGTTGTGGGAAAGTATGTTGGAGATGCCTGGTAGTTATCCCAGCAGAGATGTTAAATAGGCAGGTAGAGATTCATGTTAGAGATAAAAATATTGGAGACAACATATAGATGATCTTTAAAGCCAAGAGACTAGATGAGCTAGCTTATCAAAGGAGTAAGTTGTATATAGAGAAAGGGCCAAGGACTGGCCCAAATGCTAAGAGGCTGAGGAAATGAGGAAGAACCAGCAAAGGAGACAGGGAATGGTCAGGTCGGTAAGGGAAGGAAACCAGCAGTGTGTGCTGTCCTGGAAGTCAAGTCAAGTTTGAAGGGAGGAGTAATCAATTGTGTCAGATGCTGCACATAAGTAATATGAGCTCTAATAATCAAGCAATCAGTGTTAAGGTCATTGGGAGACTTTGATAGGTGCTGTTCGAGTGGAGGGGAGATGAAAATCTGGAGTGTATTTGAGAAAGAAAGGGATRTTCTCACAACAGGTAAAAAGCTAAACAAACTGAACAGTTTCTAAAAAGGAAAGGGATGGGGAACAGTTAGCCTACCTAAGGCAGAAACTGCTAGAGCCAGTGATTGAATTTAAACCAATTACTGAGGACTGAGTGTGGACCACCTTGAGAATTAAAAACCAGGAGCCAGCTGGGCGTGGTGGCGCATTCCTGTAATCCTGGTGAGTTGGAAGGCTGAGGCAGGAGTATTGCAAGTTCCAGGCCAGCTTGGGCATATGGGTGTGTGTGGTGGTGGGAACTTGTGGACATTATTTTCTATTCTGTTTTCAAGGTCATCAGTCAAGAAAAGCTGACGGAGTGGCTTGAGACCTTATGAATTGGTCTTCAAGGAGACTCAAAGGAGTGGGCATGATTACTAGTCTGATTACCTGATGGCATTAGGGCTCCCTTGAGGTTCAAGTAACTCCATTTTGTTTTACTTACCCACTGTCTCATCACAGTCACAGAGTGCCTTGTTGACACTTAGGCAGGCTTCACTAGCATCTTGTCACACTAAGTTAGACTTCCTTCTCAGTAGGCCAGTGGGCTAACCCATCATCATGTAATATGCTACTTTCCTTGCTTCTCATGTATGATTGCTACTCTTGGGGAGCATGCTTCTTGTTCAGCAAACAGTTGTGCCTTCTATGGCACTGTTATGGTGCAGGATAGAGTAGGATTTAGCAAAGTCTGCCTTCATGGAGCTTAAATTGAATGGGGAAATCCTGTCAGTAAATGGTTCTGAGAAAAAAGAGCAGGGCAGGGAGGGCAGGCTTCAGAGATTGCTACTTTGTATTGTAGGGTCAGGGAAGATCTAACAAATGGCATTTGAATATTTTCAGAGACTGGAAAGGAGGAGGAAGAGTAGGCCACAGCAGTGCATCTGTACTTATGAGCAGACTACATAGGAAGAAGGAAGGTGACACCTTTTTATGTCCATGCTGCCACTATTGACCAAATGTTATACTTTAAACACATTCTATCCACACTTCCTGAAACACTACTCTTTGTACACTTAATACTACCTTTTCCCTTTTTGAGTATCAGACTTTCAGTTTTATAGATTCAACATGTCACTGTAGACTGTATTTAGTATTTTTAATCAAATTATCACAACCTGGTCAGTGGAGTCCAGTTTAACTGGCTGTTTTGTCTTTTCAACACTACCTTAGACACCCCTGAAAGCACCCTTGTTTTCTTTTTCTTTTTCTAAATATTTATTTTTTAGTTTTAGGTGGACACAATATCTTTATTTTACATTTATGTGGTGCTGAGGATCGAACCCAGTACCTTATGCATGCTAGGCAAGCGCTCTACCAGAGCCACAACCCCAGCCCAAGYACTCTTGTTTTCTAGCAACAAGATACTTCAGGTCCACCACCATGATCCCTGACCCAAAACATATAATTAGGTCCTCTCCAACAAGCCTGGGGTAGATTGGAGGTTTAAACTGGCCCAGAGGTGCAAGTCCCACTTGATTCACATAAGTACTGGTATTAGAAGGATGATCCTGCTTTTGGGCCACCGGGGAAGCAGATTGAGATCAGATCTCTTCAAGGTCTCAAGTTCATACAGATGTCTCCAGTTTGGCTGTCATTTCTAAATCCATTTTCTTTAAATTCTACTATAGTTATTTTATCTTGACTGGATAAACAAAATGTGGTATGTCCACACAACRGAATACTAATAAAAAAGAATGGACAACTGCTGTGTTATGTGGACCACCTCAAAAAATATGCTTAGACTGGGGAAACAGCACAGTGGAAGAGTGCTTAGCATGCACAAGTTTCTGAGTTCAATAACCAGCAACACAAAACACACATAACCACCAAAGACGTTATGCTGAATCAAAGAAGTCGGACACAAAAGATGTCATAAATTCCATTTGTATGAAACGTCTAAGAAGGGTAGGGATATAACTCAGTGGTAGAGTATGTACTTAGCACATATATACAAGGCTCWAGGTTCAATCCCCAGCACTGCCTCCCTACAAAAATATGTCCAGGAAAGGTCAGTCTACAGACAGATCATATCAGTGACCACCTGGGACTGGAGGCAGAAGCAGGGAGCTTTGTGGAATGATGAAGAGGATCACACAACTCCACACACCTAAAAATCAATGGATTTATATCAAGTGGATTTTACTGGCATGAAAATTATACTCCAATAAAATAAAAACCCTTCATTTATATGTCCTTAATTATATGACCAAAGATAATTCTTTACCTAGAACTTTAATACACACAMAAAAATTGTATTTTTGCATAACTTGTAGATATTTTTGCAGTGCGGGGGATTGAAACCAGGGCCTCACACGTGCTAGATAAGCAYGCTACCAATGCTACATCCCCGGCTCCTATCATTTTTAATAGCCATTATCCCTGCTTAAAAACTCAAGTATAGCCACAATATGAAAATGTATTGCTCATCTGTTTATTCCCACCTTTTTTCACATAGGTGCTTCATTTTTATAAAAATCTTTTTTCACCCTGATGATTAAAGACCAACAGACTGTTGCTATGCTGGTGATCTTCCTGCAAGCTCTTGTGAGGACTCAGTGTGAAGCTTGGTTCACCAGCTACTTACAAAATTTATCAATTTTGGAAACAAAACTTCAGAAGACAACCTTCTGAACTTCGGAGGTAGAAACCCACAAATGACACACTTTATTGAAAATATTGGATTTAATAGAAAAAATCACATTGTAAACAAGTCCACTGATTGATTAGCTTAACATAGAATGACAGCACAATCACGTATAAAAGCTAAAGGACGAGATGCTGATGCCAAAGGCAGCACTTAAAGAGAGGCCTGAGCCAGAATTTTCCCAGAAATAGGCAGCAGTAGCTTCAAACAGGCACAAGAACAGGGAGGCTGTGGCAGCAACCACTCCACAAAGGCTTAAGGGCATAAGAGGAAGACAGCAACAAAATATTTGGCAGGAAGGGCTGAAGGACAAATGGGCAAAGGGTTTTTGTTTTTTGAAATTTTTTGTGGTGCTGTAAACAGAACCCAGGGCTCCATGYACACTAGGCAAATGCCACATCCACAGCCCAGGCTTGTAATTCTTGATGTTCTGACATCAGATCCTACCACACAAACCTGAGAGGGTTAGAGGAGCAGGATATGTTAAATGGGGCAACAATACTAAAAGTATCTGGTGTGTGGCCTTGGCACTCAACTCTGAGGGAGGCAGGAGAGGGTGGCATTTGTGTGTAGTGACTAAACTCAGAACTGAGCTGCTTTCTGCCCCAGCACCTTGTCTGATCACAACACTGAAGCTGTAGAAGTGTCTGTTGCCCTGGTGCGTCTCCTCCTTACTGATGAGTATGTAAGAGACCTCTGACAAAAACACAGGGCTCTAGAGGGAAAAGGTTTCTACCTCTCTCCTTTTGGGTCCCCAAAGGGAGAGAAATTTGTCATGGATGGACTCCTGGAGCTTTGGAGTTAATAGCAAAAGCTACCTCTTTAGCCCCAGCCACCCAAATCCTCCTCCAAGGAGTCCTCCCAGTTCATGGAAAAGCCACCTTGAGAGTAGAAAAACAACTAGGAGAAAGAGAGTAAGGAACAGTTTTCTTTCTGTGGTACTTGTTACTGACCAGAGAAGCTGCTACCTTGTATGTCATTTAGATATCAAGTKCACACCTTAACCTGAAGCAGCAGTTCTCACATAAGGGGCAGGCTTGCTCAAGAGGAGGTCTCAAGACTCCAAAGAGATTGAGTCCAAAATACACAAGCCCCTAATTCCCACCCTCTAATAGGTGCACATAAGGATAGAAATTCCTGACAGGAGTGTGTTGTACACGTGAACAGTGGCTAAGGCAGAACAAAAAGCCAAGAAGCCCTAACATGGGTGTGGTGGACAGCAACATGATGGAGAACACTGTTCAGAGACTGTTTCTGATTAAGTTACATGTCATTCCACAGCTGAACTCCATGACAAGGCTTCTAGCCTCRGAACCAAGAAGAGTAAGTTCACCTACTTACTGCAGTAACCATACTGGACTAAAGAAAAACAATTCTGTTCTCCTAAAGAAAATTTCCTATGAGGTACTTGATAATAGGTCCCAGCATAGGCTAATCACTGTATGGTTTCTTAGAAGACTGGCTTTTCTCAATTTCTTTCTCTTTGATACTGTACAGGGGGTCCACCAACTTGTTATGAACAAGCATTAAACCTATAAAAAAAAAAGTAGTTAATGCAGATAGAGGCAAGAATTCCACGATTATCAACAAGAACTTCTAGAAGCTCTCCAATTTTGTCCTAGAACTGACACTCTTATCTTTCTGATCTCCAAATCATAAAAACATTAAGAGCAGGAAAAGTTTGTTACTCCCAGTGAATGCTAGAGTTCATGGAAGTTCTGTCAGCACAATCACAAGGACAGCTGATTATTTAAAGGTTAATCTTTTCAACAAAGAAAAATTCCTAATTTACCTTCCCATTTATTAGATGAGAGTGTTCATGTAATTTGCCTAAAGCAGGAGGTGTACCAGGGATCGAAGCCCGGGCTTTATGTGTGCTTGGCAAACTCCCACTGAGCTAYACCCAACCCTCTAGTAAGTATCCTTTTAAAGTAAAAAAAAAAAGATCCTGTAGATCTTCACTTCAAGGCACGTCAGGACCTTGACTTAAGGGGAAAGATGTGTATGAGATCTAGACTGAGAACACCTAAGACTCAATGTCATCACAAGGAGATCACACACAGCTCTTTAACTAAAACTTTGGTTTTTTTTTTTTTTTTTTTGCCTCCTCAGAGCAAACATCTCCAGAAGTGGACCCTTGCTGTCATGGATGGTAGAGAAATGACTGTATTGTGAGGCAGTAGGGTCTCATTTTTGAGATTCTAGGTGTCCATTAAAATGGCCAAAGTGAGGGCTGGGAATGTGATTCAGTGGTGGAACACTTGTCTAGCATGTGGAGAAACTGAGTTCCATCCCCAGCACAGGAGAGGGGGTCCAGGGATTGAATGAGCTAGGTGTGGTGGCACACACCTGTAATCTCAGCAACTCAGGAAGCTGAGGCAGGAGGATCACAAGTTTGAGGCCAGCCTTAGCAACTTGATGAGACCTTGATTCAAAAAATAAAAAGGGCTGGGGATGTACAGCTCGGTTATAGAGTGTGCCTGGTTCAATCCCCAGTACACAAAAATAAAAAAATAAAATGGCCAGAATGAAAACAAAATCCATTCCTCATTCCTAGCATGCTTGGGCTTGACTACCTACTCCCATATCCACCCTCCCTCACCTTTGAAATACTTGACAGTCTTCACTTTCAGCTCCAAGGTGGCATCTTCATCACACACAAACACGGTGCAGGGGTGCTGCTGGAAGGCAGACACGGTCCACATATGGTTCACCCCCTCCTCAATGGCCTTGTACAAAGCAAAAGCCTTGTGAGCGCCTGTGATGAGGATCATAACCTGGGGATGAGAAAGCAAGCCCATGATGGAGCAGCCCAGACAACAAATGCTAAAAGGATTATTTTTTTATTGCTAGCCCTCTATGTCTTATCACACAAACTCCTACCTTTTAGGAAAAGGAAATAAGGCTCCAGGAAGTTAAGTAACTTGCCCAGGGTCATTTGTGACTTGAGTCTATGCTCTTGACCACCACCACATGACAGTGCCTCCAGACAACTTTAATGATAACTGTGAAGGTGCCCTGTGCCGTGCACAGGCCCACACGGGTCATCCCAATAGCTAGATCAGCTTTCGCAGTGTGTGAAAGAGGCCCCTGCCTGCACCAGCTACCCTGTGGTTTTRGAAACAATGCCAGGAGTTACCTGTGGGTCCCTTAAGGTTGAATCCCTTCAGAAAGGGATTCCCTTAATTTGATCTCTTTCAGTTCATAGCATTTAACCTGACTTGAAGTGATACAGTAGAGACTCCACCTAACAGTTCAATTATCAAGAGCATAAGTGCCAAAAAGTGATCCTAAAGAATTCAGCTCTACAGATATCTTTCCATTTTAATACACTTGTGCCATGGAGTTGTGAATAGAATTTACTGTTCGTTCCTCTCTCTACTTCTCCCCCTCCCCCCCTCTCTCTCCCTCTTTTTAATATTTTTKAGTTGTAGATGGACACAATATGTTTATTTTTTATGTGGTGCTGAGGATCAAACCCAGTGCCTCAGTGTGAAGCAAGTACTCCACCACTGAGCTACAGCCTACAGCCCCTGCCACAACTCTCCCTCTCTTAAAAGAGGCACAGAGAGAAGTTCAGAACCCCTCAGCAACTCTAAGCTCATTTTAGAAGAGATTTTCCTGATTTCCAGCCCAGATATTCCCCAGACCATATACCTTCACTAGATAAGGATGGCTCCCAAACTGTCACGTTTATAAGCAGCAAGCCCCTAGCTACTGATTCAGGGTTACCCAGTGGAAATCTAGGAGACATCATTCATTTCACAGAAATTCACTATATAAATAGGGAACTTTTCCACTGACTTAGATGTTTGCTTATAGACCTGGGAAAAGAAATTTGAAGCTAAAATGTCTCCAGTCACTCAGTGAATGTATCTCACAAAGGAATAGAAAATATTTCTAAAATTCTAATGAAAGCAGTAAGGACACTGGAACCACACAGACACACACACCAAATGATAACCAATTTTCTAGGAGAAAAACTCCCTAAATTCAGTTCAAGACACTTTTTTTTTTTTTTTTTTTTGATGGTACTGGGGATTGAACCCAAGGCTTTGTGCATGCTAGGCAATTGCTCTGCCACTGGCTATATCCCCAAAGCCTTAAAGACTTATCTTTTAATCACACTTCACTACATTTATTATTCCTGAGCACAGGGCCATAATCATCACATCCTTGGATTGTAGGAGAAGCATTCTTTCAAATAGTGACCAACTTCAGGGACACCAAGAGGGTCCCTTCTCAGTGCCTAGGCAAGTACAAATTCACATTCCCACATTAGTTGTGCTGGGGTTCTCTCTGCCCGTGAGAAGCATGGAAGTGGAACATCAGCAGAGGCCAAGGTCAGGTAGCAGCCCCTGGTCAATTAGCCAAAGACACACAAAAACTGCTTACTGGATTTACCCACACTGGGAACAATGATTACCTCCAAAGAAGGGAGAGAAACAGGACCAGCTGGGATTTTAGCCTTATTTATTACATCTTCATCTTTAATATGAATATGTTCAGCTGTATAGCTACAATTAACAACAAAAAGACAAGCCCACTGGCCCCAACTCTGACAAAGGCTGGTGGACCCCTGCACCCTTACCTCTCTAGCATCCATGACAGTGCCTACACCCACTGTCAGGGCCATGGTGGGCACCTTGGCAAGATCACCATCAAAGAACCTAGCATTGGCCAGAATGGTGTCCATGGCCAATGTCTTCACACGAGTCCTGGACACCAGGCTGGAACCTGGCTCATTGAAGGCAATATGTCCATCGGGGCCGATACCTAGAGAGACAGCCACAACAGTTCTGTGAGTCCTAGGAATCCACAATTTCAAAACTGTACAATCTCTCCTTCTCTAATTAGGGTCTGGAAAAAAAAAATCCTTGAAAACTATCTCCTCATTTGTACTCTTGAGGTACAACTCTGCCCCCTCCTCACCATTTCTATCTGAGGCACAGACACTATTAATTTGCTTCCACCTTCAGGAAGCTCAGTAAGGGGCACTCCAAATAGTTCCTGACCCCCTAGATTATTGGGAAGTATGATTTCTCTGTCTCCTGTCTATAGGGAAAACACACCCAGCACCTAGGCAGCGGGTGCCGAGTTCCAAAACCTCAGAATATGCAAGGTTTTTCCTCCCTACTCTTATAGAAGTTAGACCCAGAAAAAGTCCAATTTTATACCCCTGTGGGTGATGCCCAAGGTAGTAACATGTAGAATAGGAATAAGAACCTAAGTAGGAATAAGAGCCTAAGCCTCAGAGGTAGATTCCCTAGAGTCCCACCTTCTCACTGCTACTCACTGGCTGACCTTGATAAGTCACACAACTTCTCTGGGGTTCAGGTCCTATGGAGAGCATGCAAGGGCCATATGGAATCTTCTGAAACTACATGAGTCCATGATTTTAATGTTTAGGTAAATTACATGACTGATCCATAAAGCCTAAAGATTGGGGATAAAAGATCTGTGTCCAAATCTCAAACCTCTCAGTTTACATAAAGCATCAAAGTATAGAAACAGAAKGCGTCCATGATCACGGTTCCATCCTGAGCAACAGAGCCAGGGCTAGGACCCAAGACTCCCATTTTCTCTATGCCTTCCCTGCATCCACATGGTGATAGATGACCCCAGTGTCACGAGCACAAAGAAGGCTTCATGGGGACAGGCTTGGCATCATGTCCTTGCCATACAATCCAGCCAGCCTGGGCCTGGGCCTGGATATGTGCTGAGGAGTGCTAAGCTCACCTCCGACAAACAGCTCGATCCCGCCTGCAGCCTTGATYTTCTGCTCAAAGGCATCACACTCAGCCTGCAGGTCAGCTGCATTCCCATCCAGAATGTGGGTGTTCTCTGGATGGATATCAATGTGCTTGAAGAAGTTGTTCCACATAAAGGAGTGGTAACTCTCTGGGTGGTCCCGAGGAAGGCCTGTGGGGTCAGAGACATTTAGTCATACCCAGGCTGCGCTAGAGCTCTCCTCCCAAGGAAGATGCCAGAACACTTAGGGGACTGTCCATCAGAAAGCCCTGGACACCAGCCCCCTGCCTCCCATCCTCCTGGGATAGGCTGAGCTGGTGTCCATTAGGTATCCACTGACTATGGAGCTGGACCTGGGAAATCCCCTCATTCACAAGGGAATGACCATAGGCTGGAGGGTGGGAACACTCTGGGCTTCTGGAGGTAGCCTGGTCACCTGGGGTAGGACTGGGCTCATCTGGGAAAGGAAGCAAACATACCCCACCATTTATACCCTGCTCAATTTAAACCCCAACTTAAATACCAAGTGGCTGGCGAAAATTATCTCAGGGCTTCTCAAAATGTATTTGGTTTTTTTTTTTTTTTTTTAATCCAGAAAGAAAACTAATGTTTAAAATAAATGGTTAATGTTGAGCATTAAGAATATTTAAATTCAAGCCAGCTGTGGTGGCCTGTGTCTATAATCCCCGTAATTCAATAGACTGAGACAGGAGGATGGTAAATTCCAGGCCAGACTCAGCAACTTATCAAAACTCTATCTCAAAATAAACAGGGCTGGGGATGTAGCCCAGTGGTAGAGTACCCCAGTACAAAAAAAAAAAATTAAAATCAGCCTTAAACACGAGAAAATCCAACACAGTGCTACAACATGGGATGAATCTTGAAGACATTCTCCTAGGTGAAAGATGCCAGACATAAGATGTCAAATACTTTATGAATCTACTTATATGAGGTATCTAGGGAAATCAAATTCATGAAAGCAGAAAATAAAATGGTGGTTCCCAGAGCCTGGGAAAAACAGGAAACAGGGAGTTGTTTAATGGAAACAGAGTCTCAGTTTTATGAGATGAAAAGAATTCTGAGATTGGTTGCACAACTATGTGAATGTACTTACCACTACCATAGTATACACATAAAAGTGCTTAAGATGGTGTGTGTGTGTGTGTGTGTGTGTGTGTGTGTGTATATATATATATTTTTTTTTTTTTTTTTTTTTTTTTTTTTTTTTTGCGATGGGGTCTTGCTATGTTGCCCAGGCTGGCTCAAGTGATCCTCCTGCCTTAGCCCCTAAATAGCTGGGACTACAGACTCAAACATCAACCTGGCATTTGAGATGGCAAATTTTATGTTGTATATATTTTACTACAATCCTTTTTAAAAGAACATTTAAAGTGAAGCTACTATAATATGGGGAAGTGGGGAGCAGAAAGGTAATAGAAGACCAAGCCTCAGCTCCYCTCCAAGTGTACCCGGCAGAAAGGAGAGCTAAAGGAGCCAGGCATGGTGATGCACACCCGAAATCCCAGGGACTTGGGTGGCTAAGGCAGGAGGACTGCAAATTCAAGGCCAGGCTTGGAATTTAATGAGACCCCCATCCCCAAAATTAAAAGGGCTGGGTCATAGCTCAGTGGTAAAGTAACCCTGAGGTTCAATCCGCAGTCACACACACACAAAAAAAAAAAAAAAAAAAAAAAAGAAAAAGAAAAAGAAAGAAAGCAAAAAGGGAAGTAGAGGATGCACACTAGAGAGAAAATATAGACAAAGAACCTTCAAACCACCCCAGCCAAGATTCTACTTACATGCATTTGTTCCAGAAAGAAATAGCACTGAGCTGGGAAGCAGACAAAGGGGAAGGAAGTACTCTAATATTAAGTATTCATTAAATGTTTACTATGTGCTAGAAGCCTCCATATCTGTGAGTATCATAATGCTTACAACCCATGAAGTCAACTTTATTAACTTCATTTTATTTTATTTTTTTTTTTTTTAAGAAAGAGTGAGAGAGAGGGAGAAAGAGGGAGAGAGAGAGAGAACTTCAACATTTATTTTTCAGTATTTGGCGGACACAGCATCTTTGTCTGCACGTGGCGCTGAGGATCGAACCCGGGCCGCACACATGCCAGGCGAGCGTGCTACCGCTTGAGCCACATCCCCAGCCCTATTAACTTCATTTTATAACTCAACTAAACCAAGGCTGAAAGASAGAGGTTATCAATAACTGAGCCTATCACCAAATGTCACTGGTTCCTTGAGATGCTCCCATTTCTCTCCAGAGGTGAGCCTCTGAAAGAAGAGCATGACTCCTGGAATCAGGTTAGAACCCTGAAAGAGAAAGACTTACCCACATACTCATCCATGTTGAAGGTCTTCACATATTTAAAGGACAGGTCTCCATTCTTGTAGTACTCAATCAGTTTCTTATAGCAGCCAAGTGGGGTGCTCCCTGCAAGAGGAAAATTAAAAACCTATCCAAATCAGATAGTCATTCATATTTTCAAAATCCATCAACAGCTTCTCATTTCACTATCAGTGGTAACCCGTCCTTACAAAGGCTCCACATTATTGGGCCCTTGGCTACCCCTCTGCATACCTTATCTTGCAAGAGTCGCTTCACCTCAGGGCCTGTGCACATGCTATTCTAATGGGAATACTCTTCAGGTATCTGTACGGCTAACTCACTTCTTCAGGCCTCTCCTCTGTTACTTTCTCAGAATGGATTTCCCTGCCAATATATCCAACATGGCAAACCTCCATCTAAATACTCCCTATCCTTCTTTCCTGCTTCATTTTTCTCCCTCCTCCTTATTGCTGTCTAACATACTCCACACTTTGCTAATTAACTTGTCTATCTCTCCCACTATAATTTAAGCTTTGGAAGACAGGAATTAATAACAAACCCTTTTGTTTGTTGCTGCATCCCCAGAGCTAAGAACTGCTTGGCTAACAGAGACACTTAATAAACATCTGCTGAATGAATGAYAATGGAAACTCCCCCAGTCCCACCAAAAATAATCGACTGGTCCCTATGACAAGGAACCCACTTGGAAATGCTGTGCTGTTTAAAATGTGACAGGCAGCAAGGGGTCTGGTTCTGAAGGGCCTTCAATGCCACTCTGCAGAGCTTGGATCTGATTGTGTGATAACGGGAATTAGCAATGAGTTGCCTGACATAGAAGCCAGACTGATCAGGTGGAGGCTGGCTCACTCTAGATAGGAGACAGGATGTTAACACAATTCCAACAGGTTCAAGACACAGGTGGTTTCACAAGGTGCAGGCAGATACCACTCTCACAGGGCTCCAATGCAGAGTTCAGCAAACTTTGGTCCACAGGCCAAATTGGGCCTGCTGCCTATTTGTATGAGTTCATGAGTTAACTATGGTTCTTAGGTGCAGTGACACACACCTGTAAACCCAGCAATTCAGGAGGCTGAGGCAGGAGGATCACAAGTTCAAGGCCAGCTTCAGCAACTTAGCAAGGACCTAAGCAATTTAGTGAAACCCTGTCTTTAAAAAAATAATAAATAAATAAGGATAGGGGATGGAACTCAGTGTTAACATGCCACTGGGTTCAATCCCCAATACAAAAAGGAAAAAAAAATTTAAGAAGGAATGGTTTTTACATTTTTAAAAATCAAAAGAATGGTGCATGCCTGTAATCCCAGCTCAGGAGGCTGAGGCAGGAGATTGCAAGTTCAAAGCCAGCCTCAGCAACTCAACAAGACCCTGTCTCTAAGTTAATTATAATAAAGGGCTGGGAAGATGGTTCAGTGGTTAAGCACCCCTGGGTTCAAGTCCTAGTACCAAAAGAAAAAAAAAAAATCAAAAGAATGTTTTGCAACATATGAAAATTTCAGTGTCTATAAGTAAAGTTTTACTGGCACACAGCCAATAAAAGTCACCAACCTATTATTGGTAGCTTTCATATTCCAGTGACAGAGTTGTGTAGTTGCAACAGGGAAGTCTAAAGTAATTTACTGTTTAGTCATTTACAGAAAAAGTTTCACAGCCCCTACTCCAGTGGATGAGTCAAGTAAGACCCATGGGGCAAATCCACCCACCTGTGAAAGAAGTAATTAGGACATTCAGCTTGAGAAGCTGGAGTCAAATTATCTTCCTATAAAGGCAACATTCTGACCTTTTTTTAGAAGAAACTGGGACTTTTCCACTTAGATCTTGTGCATAATTAAACCTTACAGAGAATATTTGAATAACTATCTTCTCAATTCTCTCAGGAATGGTACTTAGCTAGCATCCCCCAAACACACATAAGAGAAACTAATTCTTTTCATAAAATGCATGCTTTAAGGAATCAGGACTTAATTCTGCTAAGGCACCCTGAATGCCTTAATAGAGCTGACTTAGGATGTAGCCTAAAATCAAGTTCTTCCTGTCTAACTGTTCCAAGATTCTATAGGAACTATAGGCAACAACTAAACCAACCCATAAAGAAAGCCAGGTCCTCTGTTCTGTATGTAGAGTGGGCTCTGGTGTTCTCTCATAGCACCAATACCTTAAGTCCTCCTGTAAGTCCCTGGGCYGAACGAGCCCAGAACCTGGCCCCTTAAAACCCTCTGATCCCACCGTCTCCATTCCACAACACACCAGTGGGGAGTCCCATGGTGAAGTACTTGTCTGGTCCTGGGTTAAACTGGATGATGCGGTTCCTGATGTATTTGGCCGCCCACTCACTGGCCTGTGAATAGTGCTCCAGGATGATGAGCTTCATCTTGTTCTGCAGTGGGTAGATGAGATGAGAAAAGGAACCAATGGCCCTCACTTTGAGTTCAGAGGAATAGGCTGGGCTGGGCACCTCTTCCACCCACCAGGAGGCGCTATTATGAGGGTAGACCAGGGTTCTCATCTCAGCTCCATTTACCAATGGTAGGAACTCATAAAGCACCCGCGTTCTATGAAGACATTTCCTATGTAAAAATGGGTACAGCAGTACCTACTCGCCGACTTCAGACAGGGAATAACAAATGAGAAAATGCTGGTAAACCCCACAGTATGTTGGCGATTATTCTCTTCTAGCTTGACTCAGTTCCCCTCCCACAGCCCTACAGGCTGGATACTCCACCCCATAGTCTTGCTCAAGAACTGGAGGGGCCCTAGGATMGTCTTGGGCCAATGGAACAGGTGGGGGTGATGCTTTGCCTGGGGAGRTGTGTTCTTACTCAGCACTCGAAAAGGGGTACTCTCATCGACCGCCTTGCTTGGGGAACACTGTTGGGTCCTCAGTTTCCCCCAAAGCACAATCAGGTAAAGGTATCACTCCGGAAGGAAGGCACCCCCAGCACGACAATCAATGGTGGGGACTGGGGAGGCCGGAGAGGGGTCGCCCGCGCGGAGGTGGTGGGGTTCAGTGTCCCTCCCACCCAGGTTACGACTTCGTCTCTCCTTCCAGCCCTCCTGGAAGGGGTGCAAGCGGTTCGCCGGGCCGCGCCTGGACGCGGGGGAACTGGGACAACGCCGGGACCCCTGCCCACCAGGAGGGTCCCGCCCTTCCCGCTCCCCACTTACGCACACGCCTCCCGAGGCTGCCGAGGCGACTGCGCCGGCTGCCGGGCCTCGCTTTGGTCACGTGGCCGCGGTCACGCGGTGTGCGCGCCGCCCCGCAGGCTGACTCAGCGGGCCGGCCCCCAGGCTCGACTTTGGCCAGCCCAGGACGTCCGCTACCGCCAGCTAACGTGGGCCTGGAGCGAGCAAAGCCGAAATGGGCTGTGGGAAACACACTTGCGGGGTCAGGGCCTGATTTTGCACGGSAGGAGAGACTTGGAGGCGCCAGGTCCCTGGCTAGTAGGAGTCTCCTGGCCCCGTGCCCCCAGCTTGGTGCGGGGGATGGGAGGCCCCGGGGTTGCCCTGACGCTGCCCGCTTTTCCTGTAGGTGGGATCTGTTGAGCTAGGTGCTACATTTTTTGTTTTAAATATAACTGGGCTTTTTTTGTGTTTTTTTTTTTTTTTTTTTTGTTCCCTTTAAGATCAAGCTTTGCAACAATATGTACTAGACAAAGGGGCAGGAGCAGGAAGGGTGGCATTGTTAGACCAGGAGGCAAGAAAAGACCACTGACTCCAATTAAAATYAAATTAAAGCAAGCTGCTTATTTGCACCTGCAGGGCTGCCTCTCCCCACAAAAACCTCAGGAATAAGACAGCAGGGCAGTTTTCTTGCAGCCCAACTTTACAGAAAAGTGGGGTTACAGATAACAAAAAAAAAAAAGGCTAGTTTACATTTTTGTTGGCCCTGATATCAGAATTTATGAAGGTCATCAGAGCCTCAGAGAGGGTCGGTAWCTGGCCAGGGGAGTCCAAGATTTATGAGGCCTCACTAAAGTTTCWGAGAGGGCTGCTATCTGGTCAGAGAGCCTGGCATGGGTGAGTTCAAGGCACGGGCAGGCATTCCAAGTAGGTTCAGAATTTGCAGTAGTTTTTAATAAAGCCGAAATTATCTTTTCATGGCCTTGTGGTGAGATGGCTCCCAATTTTAAGAGAAAATCAGGTTGGGTCTATCAGCACTTGTTATCCAAGCACCTGAAGCAAGAGGATTGCAAGTTTGAGGCCAGTCTCAACAACTTAGCAAGACCTTGCCTCAAAATAAAAGAGACTGGGGATGTAGCTCAACGGTAAAGCACCCCTGGATTCAATCCTAGCAGAAAAGAAAATCCGAGGAACAACAATAAAAAACAAATGCAAAAAGAAAGAAAAAAGCAGGACCTTGCTGTAACTACCCACACCAAAGTAACCGTTGCTAACAGGTAGAGGACGTTCTAAACTGTTTTTCTAAAAATATGTTTACATTTATTTTACTATGTGCACACAGTAATATGTGTGTGTACACCAAGGGTAAGGTATTTGACCTGCATACTTTCACTTAACTCTCATTGACTTCCAGTGAGGTAGGTTTGCTATTACTCTCTTATAGATGAGGAAACTGAGGCTTAGAGACATTCACTTGGTCAGGGCACAAATGACTTGCTAAGATTTGAGATCAGGCAGATCTTCCGAAGTTCAAGCCTTGCTTTTCACCACTAGCCTGCATTGCCTCCCAACTGCTATGACAGCAGATTTTGTACACCGTATGTGCCAACAAGAGAGTCATCTTATTCTTTCAAGTTAACATTTGAGTGTACCAGACTTCTGAGGGCATTTGGGAATCCTCTATACAGAGATCAGGATGAAAGAATAAGTGGTCATTAGTAACACCTGCCGTAATATAGGACTTTGCCAAGAACTTTGGTGCCCATGGTTTCATATGATCCCTCTCAATAGGCAGATATGATCACAATCATTTCATAGATGTGGAAAAAGGGGCTCAGAGGAGTATAGAGACTTATGGTATATGGTCTCACAGTTTGGGACATTCTAGACCATGAGCAGCTCTTAGGAGCTGTAGCCACACCTCCTGAGTCAGTTTAGGCCTCCTCCAAGTAGTCAAAGGCCAAAGGAATCCTGGCTTTGCATCCCTGATGACTGCATCTTCTTCCCTCAGTGGAGGAGCCACATTCTGCATTTCTCTTGACTCTGCTTACTGTGGACAGCCCCAGGGGTTCATTTGCTCCTGGGCCCAGCTGCAGTGCTAGGCTAGCTGATAGGGGTAGGTTTCAGCTGCTGAGAACCTGTAAACCTTGATGAGACCAGAGATGGTGGAACTGATACCTTTACAGATTGAGGAACTTGTTTTTTTGGCCTCATTATTGGTATAGTTTTTATTTGTTTATTTAAAAAGTCAGCCAAATCTCATCTCAGGGCGGGTGCTGTGGTGCAGGCCTATAATACCAGCGGCTTGGGAGACTGAGACAGGACAATCACCAGTTCAAAGCCAGCCTCAGCAACTGCAAGACACTCGGGGACTCACTGAGACCCTGTCTCTAAATAAAATTCGAAATAGGGCTGGGGATGTGGCTCAGTACCCCTGAGTTCAATCCCCAGTACAAAAAAAAAAAAATCCCATCTCAGCATGAGGACTGCAGATGTTTCACGATGAAGTACCAGCCCCAATCTCCAAACACACCAGGTAACACAGGCCTGTCTGCAGCTGCTTCCAGATCTTTCCAAGAAAAGCCCCGTCTCTTAAAAAATTCTCACTTCCTGAGCCAGGCCTGATGGCCTGTAATCCCAGTTACTTGGGAGTCTGAGGCAGGAGTATTGTAGGTTCCAGAACAGTCTCTGTAATTTAGCAAGACCCTCAGCAACTTAGTGAGACCATAATTCAAAATAAAAAATAAAGAGGACTGAGGATGTTTATTTAAAAACTCAGTGAAAAAGTGCTTCTGGGTTCAATCTTTTGAACCAAAATAAAATAGAAGGGCTGGGAATGTAGCTCAGTGGTAAAATGATCCTGGGTTCAATCCTCGGTCTCAAAAAAAAAAAAAAAAAAAAAAAAACAGTTTCCACCTCCCCAATAGCACAAGGCTGAGGAGTAAGCCTTCAACATCATGGGATTCTCAGGAACATTGATGACCCAAACAAGGGATATAGCTGAATGGTAGAGTATACTTACCTAGCATGCATGCCCTTTATACTTTATACCACAAAATAAAGTATAAGGGTCTGAATTATAGCACTATCCTAGGTTCCCCCAATCTCCTACATTTTTTTTTTAATTAGTATACATCAAGATTTACTCTTTGGGCTGGAGACTTAAGCTCAGTGGTAGAGCACTTGCCTAGCATGAGTGAGGCCCTGGGTTCAATCTCCAGTCTTGGAAGTGGGGAAAAAAAGATTTGCTTTTTGTGCCATAAAACTCTGAAGATTTTTGATAAATGCATAGTGTCATGTATCTACAATTACAGTATCATGTAGAATAATTTCAATGCCCTAAAAAAAAAATCCATTCTGTACCTAATGAACTCTTTGAACTCCTGGCAACCACTGAACTTTTTATCATCACTATAGTTTTACCTCTTCCTATCATGTTCATCCTTTCACCTGTAGATGGATGTTCAGGTTGCTTCCAGCACTTGGGTATTTCAGAATTTCTTTTAAAGGGGGAAACAAGAACAAATTTAGTTATCTTAGGCTCCACCACAAGGGACAGACAATATAACACTGCCTTATTGAGTGGTTAAAACATTAAATGGGAAAGTAGGTCAGAGCTACGGAGAGCCACATGGGGCAGGACAGGACAGATACAGGTGGTGTGCTGGGGAAAGGCCTAGCTTTGAATCCCAGCGCCACTGTTATAGGAGACAGATAAAGCAGGGCACCGAAGATATCAGGAAGCCTTTTTTTTTTTTTTTTTTTTTTTGGCTGCAGCCAGGTTCAGAGGGCACAGCTTTTGCTGTAATCAATTAATCCCCTGAACCCCAAGTTCAGGTAGTTTCAGAACTTTATACCCAGTGTGTAAGGGAAGAGGCTCAGAAGTTCACTGTCTGCAGAATTTCACATAAAAGCAGCTTTTTCTTTCACTGTTTTGGGCAAGTTAACCCTTCAAGGCCAACACCTGAGAAGGGGAGAGCTTTTCCCCCCTTTCTTTTCTGCCAGCTGTTACCATGAAGCCCAGTTGGTAACTTCTCTTATCTTAGAAATGTAGGCATCTCTGTGAAGTCCAGCTCAAGGCCAGAGCCTTGTTAAAAAAWTTTTTTTAATCACATTTTGCATTTGCAAACACACTTCTGCAAACTACTATATTGGATAAATGTTTGTGAAAAACTAGTAAACTGGCATTCAGCAGTTGGAGTGCTGATTTCTTCCAGGCTAGTGGCCAAGTAATAAAGCAACAGGAAAATAGGAAGTTTATTTACATCAAACTCTTTTGCTGATAGTCCTAAAATCAATTATGGTGAAGACTTCTGGAGAAGCTTAGTTAAGATTTTCTGTGGAGGAGTGGGGGTGCCACTACACCACTACTTAGGTATTGTCTAACCTCTGGAGGTAACTTAGTTTCTTTGTGCACTAATTGCTTAATTCATAAAATAGGAAAAATAATATCTTTTAGTTTTACTATTATTATCTAGAGTATCACCATAGGGAAGAGTAAACTATTCATTTAACATGACTAAGGCATTTAAGACAGTGCCCAGCACAGAGTGACCCCTCACTAAGGGTTCACTATTATTATTGCTAAGGTTTTCAGTCAGGATTTGATCTCAAAGAGGAAGCTTTGCAGACAGACATGAAATAAAGCACAGAGGCACAGGGGCTGGGGAAATCGTTTCCAGATTTAATAAGTGAACGTACAGGACACCCAGTAAAATTTGAATAATTTCTAATTGCCATTCATACATATGTTGGGATAAAAGAGCACTATTGCAAGGGATATACCTATACTAAAAACATATTCAGTTTTAGTCTGAACTAAATTACAAATATCTAAATCACATACCTCTCTCTTTCATTAAATGTCCTTGGTGATTTGTTTCTTCTTAATACTTCCTCATTATTTTGCAGAATTTCCTTATAAAAATCCTTTCAATTCTGGTCTGTGTTCCATTTACATTTTAACATGGCTTCTGCAGGGGTCATATCAAACTTATTTTGTTCTTTTGGCCACTGAACAGGCATTAATGAGAAATCATGCTCAAGATTTGCATTATGAGTCAGTATTCTGGACATGTACTGGCATAAAATTAACAACTCT